TGTAAATCATCTGTGAAGCAGACCGGTTCTTCATCCTGGATTATTTTCCCATGACTTACCTTGGCGCTTGTCCTATTACTCTGAATACTGAGACCACATGTCAAACCTTTTCCAAGGGAAGGAGGGACCAACTTCAAGGCAGAAGCATCTGTCTTTGCTTACTGCAGCATGTGTGAGACTGCAGGTGCACTGGTTACAGTGGGAACTTGCTGCCTGCCTCGAGTGTTTGGGGATATTAATCAGGAATATGTTGTCAGTATTGATTCCTCCTTTTGTCTCCTTTGGATTTGCTTCCAGAGTCCATGTAGAGCAAAGCAGTGCTGAAATGCTGACTTATTACTCTGTCTTCATCAAATAAGTAGCTTGTGTGGAGGGCAGGACGTGGCCCTGGTCATGGCTAGGCTGGAAGCATCATCTGTGTGAGATACCATAGGACTGTAGGAGCCGAGCTCCACTGGCTCTTGCTTGTGGGTGCCTGACTGCTGTGACCACTAGAAATCTCCCACCCTCATTTCACCCCTTGGAAGAATTTCTTTCTGGAAGCTTATTCAGCCCAGGATCTGCCAGAATATGAAGGAGAACTTCTGGCAGGCTCAGGGGTTACAGGGAGGTGTTTGCTGGCCAACCAACAGCACTTAATAGAGGCACAGGGGATATCTTGTTCTGCTGAATCCATATGCTGTGTGCTAGAGACATGGAGCATCCATAAGAATAAGCCTGGAGCTTCCTTTTCCTCCTGCCTGCCTGGCAGGGCCACGCGCAGCTGGGGAGTCCCACATCTCCTGGGAAGCTTCCATGGAGTGGCTGCCAAGCCTTTGTGTTCATCTGGGTTTGGAGTTGCCTTTGCTGAAGCCTGAGATCCCTTGGTGAGGGGATTTCACTGGGTCGAAGCAGGGAAGCTCTTTGTGCCCCACATGGCGGGGAGCCTTGGCAGCCAACACAGCAGCACAGTGTGATGCCGAGGCGGCTTGGTCAGAGGAGGTGGTGGGAGGTGGGTGGTGGCTGACAGCAGATCTTACTGGGTTTGGAAGGCAAAGCGCCCTGCTGGCGTGCAGAGCTGTTTGATACTGAAGGAGACGTGGTAATGTGCTTGGTGCAGTGAGCGGTTCCTGTTCTGTTGCTGAAAAGCCGGATGACCTCCCTCCTCCTCCCCAGTCTGCTTCCCTTGCAATGTCCCTCAGCAGGAGAAATCCCTTAGGGACTGATGGCAGGAGCTCATTCTGTGCCTCATCCCCAGCACCAGGGTGAGCACCTCACCACCAGTCCTTCTGCAGGCTTCTGTCCTTGTCCAGCCTAAGATAGAGTAACTTCAAGTAGTTTTAACTTTGTGCTTTCCACCAGGATTTAAATTGGCTATTTAAATCACATCATCCTCTTTGACTCCTTAATGCTCTGTATTTCTAGATGCCCCTTCTTCAAGAAGAGTTTGTAACCAGTTTTGAACACATAAAGAGTTTGTAACCAGCTACAAACACGCATGAATGAAATGTTTATTTTGAATATTTATTGCTGGCCAGAAGCAGGAACCTCCCTGTGACTGTGGCTTGTATCTGCTTGTTTTTACCTTAATGTTGCAGTTTGGTATGATATTAACTTTTGCTTCTGTGCTAATAGGAGCGTGGTGTTAGCTGCTGCATTCTGGCAGATTAGCCTTCAGCTAAACCCAACAAATCCATGACTTCAGAGCTGCTAAGATTTGCTAATCTAAAGCAGTTTGAGCTGCCGTACTTGGGGTTTTTCCCAACTGTCCTAATAAGGTGGTCTGTTTATCATCAACATGAATAAATGGGGAAAACTGACAGAACCCAGGACTGAGATGCTGGGGCTGTTGGGGACCGCTCCAGTGTGGGTGGCTCAGTGCCATGACAGCTCGCTGTGAAGAAGACAGGGAGTATCAGTAACACCCAGGACCTCTGTTTGGCATTGCTCAAAGGTCTTGATGTGTCTTGAATCGCATGTGCAGTTCTGGCCTTCTTCACAGAGGATGGGGACAGGAGAGGGAGCATGGAATGGCATTAAAATTAGAGACATTGGCACAAGGTGTCCAGAGAAGCTGTGGCTGCCCCATCCCTGGCAGTGTTCAAGGCCAGGTTGGATGGGGCCTGGAGCAACCTGGTCTAGTGGAAGGTGTCCCTGCCTGTGGCAGGGGTTGGAACTGGATGAGCTTTAAGGTTGTGTCCACCTCGGACCAGCCTGTGATTCTATGATTAACACCAGCAGTACCTGGGTCCTCCCAGTCACCATGATGTCCTGGGTTCAGCAGCAGCAGTCATTTTTCTCTTTCTTGGTATCTGGTGCAGTGCTGTGTTTTGACTTTCGGGCTGGGAACAGAGCTGATAACAATGATGTTTTGGTTTGGCCAAGGACTTTGTGAGCCTCATGCTCTGCCAGGGAGGAGGGAAGCCGGGAGGAGGCAGAGACAGGACACCTGACCCAAACTGACCAAAGAGGTATTCCATACCACAGCACGTCATGCCTGGGGTGTAACTGAGTTACCCAGAGGGCTAGGACTGCAGGGTTGGAGGAGGTATCGGTCGGTGCTTGGTCGGGCTGGGGGGGCGAGTTATCGGTCGGCTGGTGCTGAGGTGTTGTATTCTGTTCCCTTGTTATTTCCTTTGTCATTACTATTACTGGTGGTAGCAGTAGTGATTTGTGTTATCCCTTAGTTACTAAACTGTTCTTATCTCAACTTGTGGGAGTTGCATTCTTTTCGATTCTCCTCCCCATCCCTCCAGGAGCAGGAGGAAGGCAAGAAGGGGGGGAGTGAGTGAACGAGCTGTCTGGCTGGGGTTAAACCACTACACATGAGAAGCTGTCCTGGGAGAGCAGAAGCTGACTGGAGTTCTTTTTAGGCCTGCACAGCAAATACAGGCAGGTTTGGATCAGCACAGGCATGCTACCATGGACTCGAGCTTCCCAGTAGCTTTTGTTTGCATCCGTAATGTCAGGGTTGTGAAGTTTTAAGAACACTTCCCCTCTTTTCCTCCTGCCCACAGCTCAATGTAAATACATGGTGGCTCTTTTGCATAAACAAAATAGCTGTGTGGTTGCTCTGTCTCTTTTGCACAAGCACCAGTGCGGGAGCAGTGCTTTGCTAGGGTACTGATTGACACAAGGGCTTGAAACCCAGCTTGTCCCTGAGAAGCTGCTAGCACTGTGAGCAGCCCTGCCTGGCATATCCCATGCGTCACCGTGGCTGGATCGTTGCAGAAACTGGAGTGTGTTATGATAATCGCTGATAGGCTGATTAAATGTCACTTGCATTTCTGTTATCTGTATACACAGATAACAAATTAAGCTACAGCTTTTGAACTCAAAAGAAGCTGCCAGATGCATGAACTGGAAGTGACACACTCGGAGTTGTTTTATTAGTCTAAAATACCTTTGTTTGACATGCAAGAAGCCTGACTCATCCCAGTTGATACCCGCTGTGTGAGTTCAGCAGTTTTGTTACCTACCAAAAACTGCCCCAGAAAAGTGGGAAAGGTGCTTGTGTGTTGTCTTCTCCCTGTTCATGATGGAGTAACCTGGCAGGCGGGTAAGCCTGTGCTGTGCTGGGGCTTGGGGATTCTCTCATGGCAACCCTGTAGAGGTACAGTTGAGTTTTTATGGTCTCAGCGCCGTGGTTTCCTTCTTGTTGGCAGCAAACTTGCCACTGCTGCAGGGAGGTGGGATGTCTGAAGCAGAGACACCTCCTGCCTCCCCCAGACATGCTAGAATCCCCATGGATATGCAGGTGAATGGCTCTGAGCATGCTGTGAATGTGAGTTTCCTGCATAAGCACATACCTGGGTTTAGGAAAATAAAAAGTAAGCAGCCCTGCTGCTGGTGTGCATAATGAGGCAGCTCTGAGCCCCATGCCTGGGCTTGGTTGTCCTCCGCACCCTCCAGTGTTAAGTCCCGTTTAGATGTGAGGTTTCCTTCCCTGGAAGATGTTTGGTGATTCACCAGCTTTTTTCCTCCAAGAACAAACCAAAACCACGAGATCACCCGAGTGAGACAAAAGGCAACAGAAGGTTGTGCTCGTGAGAGCTGAACAAATCCCTCACTGCAGGTTGCCTGCAGACTTCCTCCAGTGCATCAGCTACGGAGGAGCAGGAGTGATCCCTGTGTTGAGCAGGGTGCGGGCAGCTTTGGAGTACAGAACTAATTGTCGAGCTGATTGTGCAATTCCTTCTTTCACCTCTTGCACACACTCCCTCCTGGGTTTGTTTCTCAGCTGCAGGATGTGGCTGTCAAATAGACAAATGTGCCTCAATAGCTCTTAAAATGAAGGCTGGATTTTTTTAAAAGCAGGGAAAAATGTCTGATTGTCTCAGCTTGAGAAGCATCAGCAGTGTAAAGGGTTTTCTGCTCGTGGCAGCCTGGAAGGAAAGAACCACATGCACTTGTTTGAAGACTTTGGGCCATGAGGAATGGCCATAGTTAGCCCACATCCTCCTTGCCAGGTCCAGATCTTGTGAGTGGCCCTTTCTCCATGTGTGTGCCTGCTCCAGCACTGCATCCTAATCCTGCTGACGTGATTCTGTCCCCCTTGGGCATTGTCTAATTGTGAAAACGTTTCAATTAGATGGCCTGAATTTGTAACGTGGAGCAGTTCATTATCACTGAATCCTCTTAACAGGGCCCTCCTACTGGGCAGCCTATTACTGAGTTTTCCCAATTAAGATAGGGCCTCTTAAAAAACATAGAGATAAACAAATCCCTGGCAGAGCAGGACCACGTTGCAATGGCAGAGCAGGACCACATTGCAAGAAACAGTGCCCTAACCTATGTTTCAAGATTAAGCAACATTTCCAGCTCCAGCCAAATCCTGATTAACCCTTTGTAGTGATTACTGATGGTCCCTGCAAGAACAGCCACAGTTTGGTGTCAGCATAAGAAGTTCAGTCTCAAATGTTTTTCCTGGGAGGAGGAAAAATGGGTTAGAAGGTGTTGCTTGATGGAAGATGCTGTTTCCCCAAAGGGCTCTGTGGGTAACGCTGCTTTTGTGGTTGCAGGTAAAGGACCTAACAAAGTACCTTGATCCGAGCGGACTTGGAGTCATCAGCTTCGAAGATTTCCATCGGGGGATCCGAGCCATCAAAAATGGAGGTGAGTTTGCTGCTGTGCTGCGTGTGAGGGCAGGAGGGCACCGCATTTCACACCATGGGGTAACAGAGCTGGGAGGTCACTTGGTGAAAACAAGCTGGGTTTGGTGTCCTGAAAGTCACTCCTCTGTGTTGGACAGAGGGGCAGGAGCAGGGGTTGGGTGTGTTTGCTGATGGAGTTGAAAACAGTGATGGTGGCGGTGTGTTTCCCTTTATCAGGGAAGTTCCTTCCTAAGTGTGTATTTGAAACAGGAAAAGCCATCAAGGGAAGATCCGTTCTGGTTTGATGTCTGCTCTCCCCTGTGGTTTTGGGGTGGGGGGAGATTGCTTGCTTGGCTGGCATGCTGCTGGAGATGTCAGTCTGCTGCAGTGTAACGTCTTCCCAGTGCTAAGGACTGATGCATTTGCCTTCACTCCATCCATTTGGAGGATCAGTGTGCTCAGATGATTTCTAGCAAGAAGCACATTAAACAAGAGCTTTGAACTCACTGACTGGCAGGTCATCTTTAAACACGCCTGTGGCAATTCCCATGTGGCTCTTGAGGTGATTGTTGTGAGTACTTCCAGAGCAATAGGTTGGTGAAATGTGAAGTATCTTTCTGGCTGGTTGGCATTTGAACTGCTTTGCTGAAGCAAAGATGTATTTTCTTTGTGGGATTCATCTCTAATACGAGTCTTAGAAGGTCATTTTGGGGAAAACCTGTTGTTAAGGGCAGGGTGTGCAAAACATTGGAAGCCTCCTGCTGAGCAGGTGTCATTTTAAACATGCAAATATGAATTATCATACTTGCATACCGGTAAATTCTGCATATTGATAAATTCTGCTTATCTTCAACTTTGGCATCGCTTTCGTGCAGTGATGAACATGCGCGGTGTAGCCAGCCCTGCACACTGAGCATGCTTTTGAGTTCTGGCACATCTGAAAGATGTGCAAAAACTGATTGTTCCTCTACAAAACATGTTGTTTCATGGGCAGAAAACCCTCAAAGTTCAAGTGACTCCAGTTTGCCTGTCAGTTGTCCATCCCTCTTGCTCCCTGCTCCCACCTCCAGCTCATCTTTGTTCAGGAATGGAGTGCTGGCACTCATTCACTGGAGTGAATGGTAGCTCTGAAGTCCTTGTGGCTGGTGTAGCTTGACAGTGCAGCTGATTCCCAGCTCTCCTGATGCAGGAGGAATTGCATCATGCTATTAATTTGTAATAAATTGCTACTGGAGTAGTGTGTTTGTGAAAGCCCTGGCTTGTGTTTCTCTTCAATAATTGATTGCTCTGGTATTGTGTTGTATTAATTGAATGGAAAAAGCAGATCCAGACAAAGCTTTTAGTTTCTCTATTTATTAAACTTGAAAGAGATTGATATGTATTTATTACAGTGGTTAAGGAAGGCAGAGCTCTGTAACACTGCACAGCATTAAAGCATTATGAAAGAAAACCAGGGTAGGGTACAAAGAGGTTTTTTGAGTCTCACCAGCTGAGCAGTTGCTCATGTTGAAGTGATCTTGAGGACTGGCTGTTGAGACAGTCAATATTGACCATTGCTTTGAGAAGAAAGGTAATGCTTGCTGCTGGGTGCCCCTTTTAACAGGGTTTTGTTAATTAGCTGGGCCTATTTTTGGCCAGAGTTAGTTCTCTTGCATTTCCTGGTATTCTGCTGTTCTTTGGTCAGCCACTGAAGTGGGACCTGGTGTAAGCTTGTGCCTTGCAGAGCCTGTGTTAATGTAGGTAAGGGTTTATTTCTGAAGATGCTCCACTTTTCTTTCCCGCTCCTCCCTCTCTTGGAGGCTCTTCATGGGATAGTTGTAGCTGTGATTTTACTCAAGCCCTGGTCTAGTGCAGTTCTTGCACCGTCAGTTGGCCCACAGGATGTGCACAGTCAGCTGCCTGCCTTGCAGCTGCTTTCGTGTGCAGTTGACCTGTAGGTCCAGGGAAGACGCTGAGCTCCTCAGCCTGATTCTGATGCTACTGTTTGAGGTGTGCTTCCACTGCCTGAGGAGCATGCTGATCTAGGACTTCAGTGCACAGCAAAGCACCATGTAGCCACTCATTTAACCGCTGAAAGCCACGATGCCACCTCTCCACTGCCATGAAGCAGTTCTGATATCTTTGTCCGGCCAGGTAATCTTGACCACGGCAGAGAAAGGACAAAGTGACTTGCATGCTGCAGAAGCTGGATTTGAGGTTTAATAAGAGTCTTTAGCCACTTGTTGCTGCCTTACCTTCTACCTTTCCCAAAGAGAAGACTCAATAGGAAAGTGTGGTCCTCATACATGTGTCAGTGGTGGCTGCATGTATGTGATTGACATTAGGGTGTTCTGGAGAGGCCTCCCCTCTGCAGGAGATGAGCCCATGGCTCTCGGGCAGTTGGGCTCAGTTCTCAGGCACAAGCAGGCTGGCATGGGGACCACAGGGGGATTCCCAGGTGTGGGGAGGCATCTCAATCTTCCCTCTGTCAGGTTAAAGCCATTCCCCCTTGTCCTGTCCCTACAGGCCCTTGTCCAAAGCCCCTCTCTGGGTTTCCCATAGCCCCTTTAGGCCCTGGGAGGTGCTCTAAGGTCTCCCCTTAAGGAGCCTTCTCTTCTCCAGGCTGACCCAGCCCAGCTCTCTCAGCCTGGCTCCAGAGCAGAGCTGCTCCAGCCCTCACAGCATCTCCATGGCCTCCTCTGGACTCACTCCAACAGCTCCACGTCCCTCTTGTGCTGTTGCCCCAGAGCTGGATCAGGAGTGCAGGGGGGAGTCTCACCAGAGAGGTCTCAGCTCCTCACAACCTGCTGTGTCCCACCCCTTCCTGCTCCTGGGCTGCTGGGACACCCTTGTCCTCCCCCTTTCCATGGAGCTTTTAAAGTTAGTGTGAATGGTGGCTGGATTACTGTCCAGTCCTGCAGCTTGTAAATAGCAAAGCAAAGTGGAACAAACACTGGCAGTGAGTCAGGGATGATAAATAACTCTGGTAAGTGGACTTTTATGGCTTTGTATTGTAAAACTGAGAAGCTGATAATGTAGCGGTGGCATGATGCTCATTTGAAGGAGCATGGTATGTTACAGAGCATGCTGAAAGAAGGCAGATAAAGTGTGTAATGCCTGGGGAATCCACAGCCAGAAGAAACCCTGGTGCACCATCAGGGAGATCCAATGGGACATCTTCTAGTCTGCAGGGGAAAAGAAATGGGAAGGGAGCCAGTGTGACTGCTGCATTCATCATGCCTAGAAGCTACAGCTCATGGGGGATCTCTGTGAGAAACAGGTATGAGGGACTGTAGGCAAGCCCCTAGGAAAGCTCAGTCCAGGAGTAAGGTCTCTGTATGGCAGGAGCTGACCTTGGCACAGGGGGGGAGCAAGATGGTGCCTGTCATTTGAAGCCAAAGACCAAAGAGCAGCTCTATTTTGCTGCATGGTGGATGCAGGAACTGCTATAGGGGGGTGAGTTGGTGACACCAAGCACAGGTAGTGTCAGCCACAGCTGGGTGCAAGCAAACAAGGGTTGTGCTCACTGCAGGTCCCTTTCTCTGACGGGGTATTTAGAAACCTTTTCAGCTTCAGACACCTGCTTTTTCTACAGAGGCATCCAGCAGGACATATTTAATGTTTCCTCTTCAGCAGACCAGTGCTCTTCCTTGGACTCTAAAGCAGCAGTGAACAAGTTGTGTGATTCGTGCACATGCCCTGAGCTGAAACATCTGTAACATCTGTCATCCCAAGAAAAGCCCACTGGGAATGGGCTCTGTGCAGGTACTGCCTGCACGTGGGGGATCACTGTTGGGTTCAGTTCATATAGCCACTGGGCAGGCGGGAAAGGTGCATTCCTGGAGCTCCTGGCCTCATCCATCTCTCCTGCATTGGCTTCTGATCCTTGAACAAAGGGGCCCCTGTGCATTGAGAGCAGACAGTGCATCCACTGAGAAATAGATGTGGTCATGAGCTCAGGGCAGGGCCTGCGGATGGAAATAGTCAAATCTGTTTTTTCAAATGTTTCAACTAAAAGCTCTTTGGATTGGGGAGGATGGAAAATCCAGCTCCAGCGCCAACACCCAAACCTGGAAGCTATCACAGAGTTCCTGTTTGCAGGGAATGCAGGAGCCAGTGGGGTGGCCAGACTGGGGAGAGCCCTGGCAGGGGCAGCCTTGCAGGGAGCTGGGTCAGTAGTTAATTCCGTTCTGAACACATGAGCTGCAGCTCAATAGAGATGCTCCTGTGGGGTTAAATAAAAGGCAGTGTGTTCAGCACACCAAAGGCTTTTGAGAGGTTTCCAAATGACAGACTGAAGAAAGAAGCATGGGACAGGGCAGGGTGTTGAACAGCACAGAAAGAGCTGGATGGTGGTCAGGAGCTGGCAGCAGTGTGAGCTCGAGTCAGAGTCTCTGTGGGCCTTCATCCCTTGGTTCCTAAGAGCAGCCAGGGGAAGATTTCAATGGGTGTATCCCTGAAACAGGGGCTGCAGTTTCCTCAGCTGGTGTTTCATGTGCTGAAGTGGTTGGTGTGCTCCTGGTAGCTGAATGCTGATCTGAGAATTTCACAGAAGTCCAGATGGGTTTGGGTAGGAAGGAACCTTCAATCTCATCCAGTTCCAGCCCGCTGCCACAGGCAGGGACAACTTCCAGCAGACCAGGTTGCTCCAAGCCCCATCCAGCCTGGCCTTGAACACTGCCAGGGATGGGGCAGCCACAGCTTCTCTGGGCACCCTGTGCCAGCGCCTCAGCACCCTCACAGGGAAGAGCTTCTGCCTAAGAGCTCATCTCAGTCTCCCCTCTGGCAGGTTAAAGCCATTCCCCCTTGTCCTTACCTTCAGGCCCTTGTCCAAAGCCCCTCTCCAGGTTTCTTGTAGCCCCCTTAGGCACTGGAGCTGCTCTAAGGTCTCCCCTTAAGGATCCTTCTCTTCTCCAGGCTGAACCATCCCAGCTCTCTCAGCCTGGCTCCAGAGCAGAGCTGCTTCAGCCCTCACAGCATCTCCATGGCCGCCTCTGGACTCTCTCCAACAGCTCCACGTCCCTCTCGTGCTGTTGTGCCAGA